TGTTACCTTTTGGAACTTCACATTGCTAGAAATATTTAGCTGAAATTTTGGTAGACTTTTTTAGAATTTTGTTAGCTGAAAAATTCTAAGATCGAATAATTCTACTTTTTTATTGAAAATTCACATTTCCGTGAACAAGTCAATGGAATCTATCAATTTCCGCTCAATTATTGCATGAAGATTGATATAAATCAGGACAATTCAAGTAGAGATATTCATAAATGTTCAGTTCTGTGGAAATTCAGTGGAATTTCGTACCAAATGTTCATATTTTTATTGAAAATTCCATCAACTTGAGAAATTGTCGTTTTCCCGCTACTAAAAAATTTTGAATTTCATTGAATTTTCTGAGAAGTCCGAAGTTTCATCATTTTTATCGCTCTCAAATTCCTAAAAGTTCGTTCCAAGGCTAAATTGCTGTTGATCCATCAACCTCAATGATTTTTTATTATCTGAACCGTGCACCCGTCGACCCATTAAAATCCCCTTCAATTCAGTGTTCATCTGACATTTCGCCGAGACCTGTGTAATTATATATTCAAAACATGCCGTATGATAATTGTCAGGAGATAGAGATTGCGAGGAAGGAGCGAGGGGTGTATCCATTTGCCTCATCAACGTTGAGCTTTATAAATGGCACGGGTGCCAGTGTATTCACGCTCCATGATTTATATGACAGGACGCTGGAGATGGAAGACCTCGGTCGGGCCATGTACTCGGTTATTAAATTCAATATGAATGTGGAAAACGGCGGGGGGGAGGGGTAATAGCACGTCGGCAGCTCAATGATCACACGGGTGGTATAGCTTCATGCTAATGAGGTCAGTGGATCATTTTTGCAGAATTTAAAGATATCCGAGTATCTTTTACAGTTTTATACAGACTACACTATAGATTCACCATTTTCAATCATTAAATTAATCAATTAAATTGTGTGAAAAAAATTTGAGAAAAAATCATGAATATTCAGCGTCATTAAAATTACATTTTGAACAGAATTATAATTTTTTTAAACATTCTTAGTTTATAAATGAATAATTGAAATTGTGTAAATTTTCAGAAACGTTATTTTTTTCGGCATGAAATCGATTTCTGGTAAAATTATGAATATGAATAAATTTGTTACGATTCCGAACAAATGATTTTTATGGTTATAAATTTATTGTTTATAAATTATTTATAACAAGTGCTCAAATTAGTAAAAAGTGCAATTTTAAAATTATTCCATGAATCTTCCTCCAAAACTAAACTTTCTAATTTTTTTCAGATTACAATGTTTTCTAAAGGTTCAATATCGAGAGTCAAATTCAAACCTGCAAAGTTTAAATAATAAAATCATTGTAAAATGTCCGGAAACTGGGGGTCAAATGGGGTTCATTGAAAGCTACAAAAGTAGAAGAGTATTTCACTGACACCGACAGATTTCACAAACTGACAACGAGTTTTGCTCTTAGCAAAGTGGATCATATCCGAAACCCCTGCCACAAACGCAATCCTAGGGTCAGGTCTCGTTACAAATAGCCTCAGCACACCTTATTTGAGAGTCGCGAAGTCATCCGAACGGAGAATCTGGGCTCTGAATCCTGGGGAGGCCTGGTGCACCTCCAACAATAAATCGTGAAATTCAGTAACTTCTCACTCTTCATATCATCGCTTTATACTGTATCATCTCGCCATGCACTTAATCTTGCAAAAATTATCTTTAATTTCTCGATCCTCACCCTGCAAAATAAACACACGAGCAGACTTTTTCTTTTTGTTAGCACCAACTATTGGATTCAGAAAATGTAAATAGTTGGCTGAAGACCCCCGGGCGATAGCCAGGCGTAAAATAAAAATAATAATCGGTAAAAATAATTGAAATTATTTCACCGGAGAAATAATAGCCAAAGTACTTGGATATTCTTAAAGAACACAGAACAAAAAGTTTTTATTTTCGGGAATGTGTCACTGATTTCCAGGAATTGATCATTAATTATTGGTGACACTCGACATCAACTAGAATTACACTGATCATGAGTGATTTCTACCACTGACATTTGGTAACAAATTCCTAAACAATGGAGCTGGGTCCCTAAAAATCAGGGACATGATTCTGAAAATTCAAATCAAGTCTCTGAATATTAGTGATGATGGCATTAGAAATTTGTGATAATTTCACTGAAAATTGATGACAAAATCACTGAATTTCAGAATTTTGCACCCACGGAATTTCAGAATCACGAATCTTTGACAATAAGGGATAAATTCCTGAAAATCAGTGATGTATCAAAACATTTTTTTTTTCCTATGAAAAATAATCAGTGCATTGCGAATGAAATTGGTGGAGTGTGAGGAGAGCTGGTGCCTCGGGGAAGAAGGCAAGAGGGAGGGTGGATGGAGTGAATTGGTGGGGGTGGGAATGTCAGAATGGAGGGACTGCTTTCAGTGATGGGGAGAATTTCGCTAAATCAATTGGGGAGGGATTGCAGGATTATGAATATTTATAATTGTCTGGGTGATAGTGGAATTGAGGGGTGGGAGAATTTATTATTCAAGGGGGGAGGGGAGTCGGATGTCTGGGTGATTGGGGCCGATGTTAGTACGTGAGCAATTGATGGAATTTTCCATCGAGTGACAATTCCCTTGAAATTTCAAAGAATTTCGTGATTGAAAATTCACGATTTAGAGAAAAAATGGTAAAAAACTAAAATTTTCAAGTAATTTAATCACTTTATGAAAATTAATCGAAATCTGGAAAATTCGGTATCATTCGGTACTGAATATTCAAGTTTTGTTCGAAAATTTAAGTAAGTTGAGTAATTCTCTTCTTCTTGCTGTTCAAAAATCTGAAATTTCAGTGAAATTTGAAATTTCTTTTTTTTTCCTGAATTAGAATCATCTAGCTCTTGAAATGTCATAATTTTTTCCCCTTCAATACATTTTAATATAGCTCTTCCGAAAAATACTACTTAAGACCCGGGTGGCTTACTTATCTTTCGAATGTGGTCTTGATTGGTTTTTTTATTTTGATAATCTGAAATAATCTCCAATTGCTATTCAGTTTCACATCGCCCTGGAGTCTTCAGAAATTATGATTGTAGTATAAAAAAAACGTTGAAAAAAAGCTGAACATTTTCAAAGCGCGTTTTTGAATAATATTGGGAAATGAACCCAATAGGGAGGAAATTGTAAATTATTAATTTTTTGTATTATTATTTTTGGTTCCATATGTATACCCTCTCGGGTTTTTACATTTTGTTCCCTTTCCTTATCTGCGTTACCATGGGCCGACTTACTTTATCCCCAACTGCACCCCATTCGGGATTGGGACCGCTAATTACCGATGGCGGCGCTCGTTTTCACCAATATGAACGATTTTAGGCTTCCCATATACACGCTAACACAAGCCCAAATTGGGTTGTACACTGTCTGTGTGCAGCCCAATATCCGCCATTCATAGGTGGCGTTTTGATATTTAGCGTTTCCAATTGGACTGCCAGGGAAACCATGGAAAACCTCAGTCGTGCAACCGGCCGATAATGCAGGGATTCCACTGTCTCCATTGGTCACACTGACCCAATGGGCACAGTGGTTCTCTACATTCATGCCTAGCGACTGTAGTCTCACGTGGTTAGGTGTGCCTAAGCTGACACCGATCCAAGTACTGGGCAGACTGAATGCTGCTTAAGGATATCCAAGTACTTCGTTCAAATTGGCAACTTTTTTTCAAGCAAGATTTCAGTTTTGTCGAAAATCTTGCCGTCTCCATACTTTTTCGGATTTTTCATTGTCGAATACATTTTTTCAGGAATTTCTTCAATGAATATTGTGAACAATATTTTATTCAATTTCACACTTGACTCTCGTTGGTCTAACCTCTAATGATCATACGGCAACACTGCACATGTGTTCCATATAACCTCGTAAATTCGGTCCGAGTAGTCACTTGAGCGGACTGTTGCCAGACGTCAGGAATGCACGGATTCAAACCACCCAATATGGCCGTCGTACCAATCAAGAAGCTTTTCATTTGGTTGTTTGCAATTATGTGGCTGGGAACTTATATTTTTTAATGTCGCAAAAAAAACTAGAGAGTATAACGAACAAAGTCATATACGGTTATGTGTACGAGAAAACGCTTTAAGACTATGAACTATTGGATTGAAGGTGGCAGTATACAGCTCTTATGGACCCAATGTGTTAAATTTCATTCTTTCAAAAATTGTTTTCTCGAAGATATGTTCGGAAACTAGAGTTTATACTGCGCCTAAAAAATACTCTTGGTCTAGTCTATAAACTCTGAAGGGGATTTCCCCGAGAAAAAATTGCCTGAATTACTTGGATATCCTTAAGCTCGGATGACCGCCGGAGCCACACACTTCCCGCGTGACCACTACAGCCACTTAATTTTTTGTATTTAATGGCTGTTAGATCGTCATTTATCACAATAGTCAGTGGCTGTCAGATCGTTAGTTATCATGATAAATTATCCATTCACTATTTTCTCTCTATCGGACTTGTTTCTTAATCTTTATTAAAAACGCTCTTTGAAAATGTTCTTTTTTCTATTTATTCTTATTTTATAATAATAATTTTTAGGGACTCCTGCGTAATGTAAAATCCAACAGAAGTTGCGATATATTTTAGATAAGTTTGCGATATTTTATATGAAGATGGAAAAACAATCGAGATAACGTTCGAAAGATAATCCACCCACGCCTTAACTTTTCATAAATTCAATTTTTTCTCTAACAATGTTTAAATTTGAGATAATTTTTCTTTTATCCAGCGAAGGATAGCTGAGGTATTGCAGGGTAATTCTACGACTGAGAGTCAGTAGCACTGATTATTGAGAACTATTTTATCGACTGTAGGCATGGTACCTTCGGGGGAAATGAAGTGGGAAGACACAAAAATAAGAAATTGAATACAGTTGTATTCAAAACACTCAAAGTTTTCTAATCGAAATTTATTCATTCTTAACATAAGACCATAAAAATATTAATAACACAGTCTCCTTTTATTTTCCATGTTTAGAGCTATAATACTTCACCCCATTCATTGTCGAAGGCCTAGCATATTTTGTGAGCAGAGCAGTGACATTAGAGCCTTTGGTCGTCAGACGTCTAGACAACAAAAAAATTCACTTCAGTCCAATCTAGAATTTGAATGAAGAAAACATGATTGAGCGGCATAATAAATCAGCTTACGAAATGTAGGGCGCTATTTCGTCGACTGTCCACTTGTTTTTGACTTGGAAGAGCTGACGGAATCGTTCCTGAATATCTTCGGACAGACTGGACTCTGGAAATGCTACAACTTCCTTTTTTCCCTTCTCCTTGTTGTATTCAACAACAGCTAGACCGTTCAAGTACTTCTCCTTTGGCCTCAGGTCTGCAGACAAATGACAAAAGCAAATTGGATGATAAAGAAATGGTTGAATGGAAATTCAAACATTCCTTCATTATTCCTTCATGTTTGAGTTTCCATTATACTGAAGGGAAAATTATTATTCTGTTCAGTACTCCCAATAATAAAATAAAATTAATAAACGAAAGTTAATTAAGGGTGTATTACACACTTTTCGCCAAAATTCACGTTTCTTGAATTTCTCTGGCAAATTGTTGAGCGGATTGACGTAAAAAAATATACCGTTTTTGTGTTTCATTATTACTTAATGACTCACGAAATTTCATGATCGTGCAATCATTTTCCTGCGTTTTTTCTAAAACTTTTCGGAAATTCACAAAACTTTAGAAAAAATGCAGGAACATGATTACACTACCATGAAACTTCGTGAGTCAGTCAATGATGATAAAACGCTGAAACGGGATATTATTTCGCGTCAATCCGATCAATAATTTGCCAGAAAAATGAAAAAAACGTGAATTTTGGCCGAAAGGGTGTAGTACATCCTTAAAAAAAATAGTTGATAAAAAAATTCATTTTTTCCTCGAATTGCGTCACAGTCGTTTTTCGACTATTTCATTTTCCCCACTCTCACCTGGCTATCTATCAGTTATATAAAATGGGTGAATAGAGAAACGAGAGAAAAACGAGTCGATGCAAGTTCGCTATCGAGTTAGAACTTTTTGAACCACAACATTGATTTACACCTTTCCAAATTTGAATTCCGAGATGAACTTCTAGCACTATTATTCCCAGATATGCCTTTTCTTTGACGACAAGTCGATATTTTTAAAAACATTTTCTTCTCATAAATAAATATTGGAACTTGCTTGAAAAAATGCTCGATCATTTTCTAATCGGTCTCAAAAAATTTCCCGATTCTTTTACATTCGCAGAAAAAAAATCCAGATTTTAATCTTTGATCATAATGAAAATGTTGATTTTCTAATGAGACGCTAGATTGAATCCTGATTTTTCAATATTTTGTTTCTGAAAAGAAAAATAATTTGCAGTGATTTAACAATCTTTGAATTTATTGTAAGTGTAAAGGTACTCTAAAGAAAGAATTTCGAAAATTAATTACGTTCTGGTGCTCCGATCTTCCAAGCCTCCATGAATTTGTCATAAGTATTTCTGGGAGACGCAGCCAACAGTACCTTAGCCAGCAGCTGGCACACTTTCTCTTCGTTGTAAGCATACAGGGGATGGCCCCCAGTTGACTCCTGCATCTCACTCTTTGCACTCTTCGTTGTGTATTTATCGAAGATCAGATCGAAGATTGGCCGAGGAATAAGTTCCTCCAGTGCCTTGAAAGTTTCCTCTTTATCTACTTCATCCGGTGGCCAGGAGTTCTCCTCCATGAAGTCCAGCATCAGGGTCAGAGCTCGGGCTTCATACTCGAAAGCGATTAAACGATAATACCCTGGAATACAAATGATACTAATTCGTCTTGTTCAGTAGTGTCTTTGTTGAGTAGCAAGATAACACGCACAAAATTATGTAATTAATTGGATCAAGGATATCCACATACTTCTTACAGATTATTAATCATCAAATCGCGTTAAAAAAAAAATCGAAACAATTTGAAACTAGTGGAAAATTGCTGTTGTTTTGGTATAGCAGAAACATCAAGATAAATCAACATAATATCACAAAACTAATTTCTCGCGTCAAATATCTCATCTCTTAAGAATAAAACGCTTGGGATAAGAATTCCGTATTATGAGTCAGACCGTGTAAGAATCCTGTGAAATGTCCATCACTTGAACACGAACACTTAGCGATAAAGTCACAATTTCTTGCCTCAAGAAAATTCTTCTATTCCAAAGGGCTTTATCTCCAACTCAAATAGGGGCAAGTGCCGAGGACCAGAGACTTTCATATTGAATCAATACAGAATTTATACAGGGGAGACCCTTCAAATATTTCAAAAATATAACCGTCACTTGCTCTCAATCGCAATGTGCTAGAAGGAAAGCAGGAACTTTTTTCCTTCTCTCAAACTTACGTTGTCTCTTTGGGAATATTGAATTTTCTAAAAAATAGTAATTTCCAGAAAAAAATATAATTTTTTGATTTAGTATCATCCTCCATTAGCCCGAAGAGCATTGATTTCTTGACGGAAACCTACCATGAATTGATGGAATATGCATGCGATGTTCTCAACTCAAGAAATTATTTTTGTCGTATCATGTTGATTTTTCTGGAAGTGTATTCAGTCGACGATATGCTTCCGAATGGTCATTTTGCACATCATATTCTTCTATGGTATATCATTTAGCGTTTTATATTAGGGGAGGGGAGGGCAAAATGGGGCATGAAACCGTAGAGGTTAATTATTTGGGTTTTTTGGTAAAAATTACTTATATTGGAGGTAAAATATGGCTCCAGCATGAGTTGAAATCACGTCAATTAAAAAATAATAATTGAAGGACAAAATGGGAATGCCCCAATTGAAATACCACACAATTGCGTTGATTGACTTTGATTATAAATAGTATGAAATTAATTAAAATGTATACTTATATGTTACATAGTTTTCCGACACATAATCGAACTCGTCTCAGGGTGTTTTGACCAAATTCGCGGAATTTTGACAGAAAAGAAAAAATTGAAAATAAAATAGGTCCAGGACAAAACCTAACTTGTTTGACAGCTCAAAATACTTGTTTTAATGACAAGAATTAATGGAAAAAATACGAGAAAAATAAAACATGACATAATTTTGAAAAATCAAGTTTTTCAACTTTTTTTTTTAATTCGTTATTATGAGCACCTAGAGATTGAGAAAAAAAATACTCAAAATATTCTTATAGATAGCAGAAAATGGGAAATTTTGATAGGTTATAAATGAAAATTCAATGAATAGAACTGAACTTATTGGAAAATGAAGAAAAAATCATATCTCTGAAATGGATTGGCGAAAAAATCTGAAAAAAATTGAGAGATGGTTTTTAATTAACTCATCTGGTAGTTATTTCATACTATTTTCACAAATTCATCATTATTTCAATTTTTGCGAAAATTTTGAGGTGCCCCATTTTGCCCACCCTGCTCCGTTTTGCCCTACCCTCCCCTATTTTGTTAAATCGTATTATATTCCTTCTTTGATCAATTGTGTTAGATTTCTCGTAAAAATTCTAGTAAAAATCAAATGAAAGAATGATGTTATCAATATTATATTGAAACTTCATTAAAATGGTATCAGAAAAACTTTTCTCATGTAAAATTGAATGGATTTGGAACATGCTTGAAGAAACCATGCGAAACTTCTCTTTCAGGGAAATTTTAGAAAAACCCATAATGAAATTATCCACCATACTGAAGTTGTTTCATATTGAAATAACAGTATGGGATAGTGCCAATTGCTGAATGGATTTAATGCATCAATTATTCATACCATCAATCTCAGTCACCAGATTCTCCGATAGTGTACTCCTTAATTCTCCATCACTCATTTGTACATTCTCACGAAGTTTTTCCCAATTATACAAGGACGACTTATCAATTTGTCTTTCATATTCTACACCTTTGAAGGATGAAGAACTCAGGATACTCAGTAAATGTCCTAATTTGGGTCTGGTCTCTCGAAGCTGTAAAATAAAATCAATTAAACATATGTCAAGGGATAAATTCAGTTCACAATAACGTTTATACCAGATAAAAATCATCTAAAATTTGATTTCTTCATTTTTATTTTTCTGTTCAATTGTTTCGAAATTACGTCCACTATTGAGAGAATTTTTTCAGTCAATTATTAATTCCTAAAGACCACATAACTCTAATTATACACTGAGATACAAAATTTATTGATTAATCAACGAATAAAATAATGAATAGAGAAAAACGACAATAACTCTGCCATTTTCTCCCCCCAAAATAGGAAATTAAGATTAAAAAATGAAGTTTTGCCTGATTACTCCACACATGTACCTCATAATACGTGTGAAAAATTTTCTCAATGTCAATGCTCTGCACCTTTCTCTCCCCCTCATTACCAATCTTCTTAATTTCCTCCGACAATTTCAAGTCGGGCACTAGGACGAGTGAATTTGACATCTCTGCCTCTTTAACCTCATAAGTTCTGGTATTGCTGCAGAGAACAATATGACCATCTCCTACACTTTTGAAACACAATCTAAAAATCATGATGTTATTATCAATTAATCTGCACAAAGCATCATTAATTAATATTAAATGAATAAAATGATGAACTACTCCTGGCTTTCCTCCACACAAGACACCAAGTGCTGGTCCATCTCCACAAGCATCAACTTTCTATTCTTATCTGCTTCAGGACGTTGCTTCAAATTACTGTAGAGCACCTGAGTGGACTTCATCAATTTATTTGGAGAAATACCTGCTAATTTCAGGGTTTCCTCGATTTCTTCTGCTGAACGATTATATCTAGAAATTGTCAATAATTAAATAAACAGATCAATTCGACGATTTCTATTGCGAAGAGTAAGAGCAGATGATTTTTGTACCTTTTATTAACAGCCATGTTGATGTCACCAGAGAGTCGATTGTCATTGGGTGTTTGAACGCTTTGTTTACGTAAACAATTCGAAAAATGTTGTTGGGGGCTGTTGACATGTGCAGAAGCCTCAGTTTACCGCGCTTTTATGACTGATAGCAGCTGTTGCCGCGACTAAGTCATTCTGATGAGGGAAAATAAAATACAATTTTACCATCAGGAGATAAAATCCTCGAATACTAAGCTCTTTCTTTGCGGCATACGTTCGGGTAGATCAATGCTGGAGTAAATCATACCATCAAGTGGTTCAAGCCTGCAGCCGGAGTTCTTCACATGAATTGTAAAAACCCTTAATTTAGGGGAGAGTGAGACAAAATGAAACAGTCAAAAAAACGATTGTTTGACGCAATGCAAGTGAATTTTTTTTTATTAAATTTTTTTTTTCGACTTTATTTATATAAAGCTACAATAACTCAAAATTGAGTTCGGTGGCATAAGGGAGGCTCGCTCGACCATCAGCAACTTTAATCTTATTTATATATGTTCGTCAATTATCCTGAAATCCATTGGCATTAGAGCAAAATATCAGCAAAAAATTTTTTTGCAGAAAATTGAATTCTCTATCATAAATATTTTCTGACTTCCCCTCGAAATACACTAGTTTTCGAGATATTCGAAGAAAAACCATGTGCATGTCAATTTTTTCCTTTTGAATATCAATATTTCAATTATTAGCAAGAGTACTCGTAAGCCTTAACATCACCAAGGAGCACCAAAAAGCAATTTTTCCCAAAACCCTCCGAGAAGCCCCCAATATCCCCCTCAACGCCATAATCTTCAAAAACAAGTAGAAAAATCCGAGTGGATTTGAAATCCCAATATCTCCGAAACAAACGAGACCCTTTCAAAACATCAAATGCCATATTAAAGCCTGCAAGAACTCCTTGAAATTGAGAGAAAACTCGTGAAAATCCACTCAGCCATTTTCGAGATATTCAAAGAAAAAATGCAAAAATAAACGAATATAAATAAAAAAACTTCCTCACAATTCATCATCAGAGTCTGGAATAATGGTGGCTCTCCTTCGTCTCCTGCCTGACCCACTGAGTAGACATCAATGTGTTCTCATCATCATCATATTGGACATTATTTTTTTATTGATCGTCTGGTGAATTATCGTAAGGTAGCCATTAGTGAAGAGAAGATATTCATGCCTTTAATTCATTCATTCATGAATATTAAAAATTAAAAATTAAAAAATTTCGCAAAATTAAAATTTTGATCATCTGTATTATCCCTTGGGCTATTCTAGTCGGTCAACCTTAGATGTTTTTTAAGGCATAAATTACTTGGAAAAGATCATTTTCCACTTGGGCATTTTTTACTTAGAATTACTTGGGTGGGGGTCATTCTGCCGAAAGCGTCAAATTACCGACAGGGTGAAGTTACCGACACGGGTATGGCTGACGGAAATTCCCTAGCCCATTTAAATGTGATGGCTCGTTTACAATAAAAACGTTCTGCTATTAATATAGGTTACGTTTTCCAGTGTCTGAAGGTTAAAAAACAGTTAATTTTATATTTTTTAATTAAAAAACTCTAATTTATCCGCGAAATGAGTAAGTGATAACAAAATTTGTGCTCATTATGTGGGATTACTCCGATTGCACAGTGAGTATTGCTCCAAATTAATTAATTCGTCAATTATTCATTAATGATTGCCCAAAAATAATCCAAATTAATTGGATTGTTTTTTAGCAAAAAATAATAATTGGTAAAAAAAATTAGAATTCATCAATTGGATTAATTAATTTGCTTCAAATTAATAAATCCACAAATCATTAATTAATGATTGATTGGTCAATGTTCATCAGATATGATTTGCGATATTTCAGTCAGGAGACTGCTCCTTGGGCTGACTATGAGTATCAAAGTGTTGGGAGCTCTCCGTATATATCGCTAGTATCAGGTGCTCCATCAGAACGTGAGGACGTGACGAGTACCTGAAACATGAGAAATAGGGTGATGATTCAACGTTGAATCCTGGAGAGACCCATCAGCACCCTCAGGACGACCATTTCGACCTTGGTCAGGATATGTGGACGTGGTGATATGTGGTGAAGTGACAAATATTTGAAAATGAAAAAATTATTTGAAAAACGTGTGATTTTTTGAAACAAAATAAAATTTTTGAAGTAAATTTTATCAGTTACAATAAACTCTATTTTTGTAAACTCTATTATTTACAAAATAGACTCATAATTACTATAGTTATGAAATTAAAATTATTACTATTCATAAATTTGAATTGCCTAGAAAAGTTGATTGAATTTCTGTTAATTTTTTATTAGTTTCTATAAAATTTTACAATGCAATTTTTCCTCATTTTTTTCTTTTGATTTTTTTCATTGGAAACTGAAGTGAAAAAATCATGTCGACAATTTGTTATGAAGAATATCCTGAGAGGAAGAATTGTATAGAATGATGAAAATCTACTCATTTTCTCTATAAAATAGTTTCTAATATTATCTTCTATGAGAAAAAAAATGCGCAGGAAAACTATGGAATTCTTCAATAGAATTGTCGATTGAATTCATTAGATTTTGCTCTATAACATTTTTTCGTATGTGAATAAGGCATTATTTCAACCCTTTAGCTTCATAAGATGAAATGAAACGATATTTGTATGTTGCCTTGTACTTTTTGATCTGAATCACAGTCATGAGGCTGAGTAATTCGAAAATCATCCTCATCCTCAATAGCTCGACCAAAGTAGTACCCAACCAAATGACATTTATAGTATCGGAAGTGAATATTTACTAGAATAAATATTTTGTATTTAATAAATAAAAATGTATCTTCTGGCCAGTGCATAGGCAAGAAATTAATATGAATTTGCTAGTTATAGAAACAGTTCTTCTTCCTCTTCTGGCCCTCCGATTGACATGTGTAGTGGTCAACGATTTTTAGCATGGTTACAGCTTAATTGAATTCCGGGTTGACAATAATGGATATACATAAATAAACAACCTGTGTGACAAATGAATTACGGGAATAAATCAAATAGTTTGTTGCCGTTGTTTTTAGCAACATAGCAACGAACTATTTGTTTTATTCCCGCAATTCAGTTGTCAAACAGTTTGTTTATTTATGTATATCCATTATTGTCAACCCGGAATTCAATTAAGCTGTAACCATGCTAAAAATCGTTGACCACTACACATGTCAATCGGAGGGCCAGAAGAGGAAGAAGAACTGTTTCTATAACTAGCAAATTCATATTAATTTCTTGCCTATGCACTGGCCAGAAGATACATTTTTATTTATTAAATACAAAATATTTATTCTAGTAAATATTCACTTCCGATACTATAAATGTCATTTGGTTGGGTACTACTTTGGTCGAGCTATTGAGGATGAGGATGATTTTCGAATTACTCAGCCTCATGACTGTGATTCAGATCAAAAAGTACAAGGCAACATACAAATATCGTTTCATTTCATCTTATGAAGCTAAAGGGTTGAAATAATGCCTTATTCACATACGAAAAAATGTTATAGAGCAAAATCTAATGAATTCAATCGACAATTCTATTGAAGAATTCCATAGTTTTCCTGCGCATTTTTTTTCTCATAGAAGATAATATTAGAAACTATTTTATAGAGAAAATGAGTAGATTTTCATCATTCTATACAATTCTTCCTCTCAGGATATTCTTCATAACAAATTGTCGACATGATTTTTTCACTTCAGTTTCCAATGAAAAAAATCAAAAGAAAAAAATGAGGAAAAATTGCATTGTAAAATTTTATAGAAAACTAATGAAAACTAATAAAAAATTAACAGAAATTCAATCAACTTTTCTAGGCAATTCAAATTTATGAATAGTAATAATTTTAATTTCATAACTATAGTAATTATGAGTCTATTTTGTAAATAATAGAGTTTACAAAAATAGAGTTTATTGTAACTGATAAAATTTACTTCAAAAATTTTATTTTGTTTCAAAAAATCACACGTTTTTCAAATAATTTTTTCATTTTCAAATATTTGTCACTTCACCACATATCACCACGTCCACATATCCTGACCAAGGTCGAAATGGTCGTCCTGAGGGTGCTGATGGGTCTCTCCAGGATTCAACGTTGAATCATCACCCTATTTCTCATGTTTCAGGTACTCGTCACGTCCTCACGTTCTGATGGAGCAGCTGATACTAGCGATATATACGGAGAGCTCCCAACACTTTGATACTCATAGTCAGCCCAAGGAGCAGTCTCCTGGCTGCAATATCGCAAATTATATCTGATGAACATTGATCAATCAATCGTTAATTAATAATTTGTGGATTTATTAATTTGAAGCAAATTAATTAATCCAATTGATGAATTCTAATTTTTTTTTACCAATTATTTTTTTTTGCTAAAAAATAATCCAATTAATTTGGATTATTTTTGGGCAATCATTAATGAATAATTGACGAATTAATTAATTTGGAGCAATACTCACTGTTTGTGCAAATCGGAGTAATCCCACATAATGAGCACAAATTTTGTCATCACTTACTCATTTCGCGGATAAATTAGTTTTTTAATAAAAAAAATATAAAATTAACTGTTTTTTAACCTTCAGACACTGGAAAACGTAACCTATATTAATAGCAGAACGTTTTTATTGTAAACGAGCCATCACATTTAAATGGTCTAGGGAATTTCCGTCAGCCATACCCGTGTCGGTAACTTGACCCTGTCGGTAATTTGACGCTTTCGGCAGAATGACCCCCATCCAATTACTATGGTAGAATAGCTCAAAAGATAATACAAATGTTCAATATACCGGTCGAAAAATGTCTTTGATTGTTGAAATTTTGATAATCGTCCATAGTCGATAATAAAGCTATACTAGCGAAGTCATTCATGCCTTTAACCAGAGATTTTAACCAGAGATTAATCTCTGCTTTAACAACTTTCAAACTTCATGAGTTCCGTCCAGATGTCTCCCTAGGTTGCTCCTATCCCGATTCGATCGTCCCCAACCCTCAGTCTCATAGACAATCTTGTCGGCGAAATAGTCTACGGTTGTTTCGGGACAGCAATTCTCCGAAATCACAAGGCGATTGTGGTTCACAGCCATATTTTCCAATGCAGTAGTTTTGAAATTCTCCAATTCCCAGAAACTCCACAGCTCCTTCATCACGAATCACGATCAATAGGCATCATTCTCTGAACAATTTCCTAGGTAAATTAAGAACGCGTAATAGGTTAAGATAGTCACCCAAACGAAGTAAAATGTTGTCGTTTCAGGCTGACGTTCCGAAGCAGTTGACAAAACATGTCAGGAGATATAAATATGTTCGCCGAAAAGGTAAGTATAAACGAAAACGCGATCACAGGACGGATAACGATGTTGCATGCTCGATTAATTATTTGGAAGAACATAAATTGTTTGACGAAATCAATTGGTGGTTAATCATGTGCAAATAATGATTTTATTTTTTATTCAGCTCGCTTATTATTTAACTATTGTTTTCATTAACCAAGTGTCCTCTTTTGCTTTCAAGCCCAATGAATTCGGTGAGCAGAATGATAATAAAGGCGAGGAGGACGGCAAATCACCCAATGACCTGCATGTGGTATCTACCTAACCAATTTTCATTTTTCGGCTATTATTTTTTGAGCTATTCGCTGGTTACTGTAGCTTCGTCGATGCATTTCAGTGGTGAACCGACAACAGATCAATTTTTTATTGTTGAATGTGACGTCGTATGTCATGAATTAATACGACGACTTTTTTTTATCTGACGAAATTGGTGACGAAAATATCTGTTCATATTTTTTTATCAGACATTTTGTGTTGGGAATTTTGTCAGATAGGAAAAAAGACATTCATTTCATTTTCCACTAAAAAAATATGTGGAGACGTTCATTGTCAGAAATTTTGCCAAAACAAATCTCCAAATTTTTAATTAAAAAATTTATCTTATTTTTTTAGAAGAAAAATTAATGAATGAAATATCTTATTTTGGATGTGATATTTTTCGGTAGAAATTTAAATTTTCTTTCGCTGCTGACAAATTTTCAAACAAAAAATATCCCATCAAAAAATATGGAAATGTTTTTGAAATTTTTCAGGTAACAATTTTTCTTGACATGTTTCTCCAATATAAAAATTGAAAAATTTGGAAATGAAATAATGAGATGACACGAATTTATTCATCTTTAAGTTCGCTTTTTTAGAAATATTTCTCGATGTACGAGAGGTAGAAATGCTTGATGAAGACATTCTTTGTAAATGAACAAATGATGTAAAAGGGAATTATATCTAGATAACAAATGCTCCCACAAAAAAATTTCAAAAGATTTTTTTTGTTCTAAATTTTTTCAACTTCAAAAAAATCTTATGATATTTTTTTCTAAAACTGCTCATTCTCGAGATAATTAACAAAATCAAAAACAAGGTCATGGAATCAGATGAGTTCATTCACCGTTAAATTTGTTTTCTCTTTTTTAAGTCTGGATATATGGGGAATAAAGATTTTTGATGAGAACATTTCGAAGAACTCATCTTGAGAGAATTGTTGATTATTGAGGGGATTATTGATATTATTGAAATTGATCTGTTGTGGTTCATCACTTCATGAAAGCTTTATACATCGGTGTCCACGGGGAGTTACTGAGTAAAAGAGATTTTCAGCAGGAGTCTGCAACTGTTTATGGAGGCTGCGAGGGTCCTGATGCCATGTATGTGAAACTGGTGAGCAGCGACGGACATGAATTCATTGTCAAGAGGGAACATGCGCTCACCAGTGGGACTATCAAGGCTATGCTTAGTGGGCCTGGGCAGTTTGCTGAGAACGAGGCAAATGAAGTCAATTTCAGGGAGATTCCGTGAGTATTTTTCGGATTAAAATTAAGGGATCTTCTCAGTAATTTTTACCACACAACGAGAATATGCTAGCGAAGTGAATATGTCATGTAATGGTCAAGAATGGGAAAAGCAAAATTGTAAAACAAAACTCTGAGCAGTTTTATCTTTTCGTTCGTTTTGCATCCGAATGGAACCATTGTCATCGTTCAAATTCAAATTTTGGATTTTTCGTGTTAATCGACCTATTTCATGGTCCAATAAGTCCAAAAATGTAATTTTTAGATCGTATCCGTACGTATATGCATACATAAACAAATTTTTCTTCGATTGTACGCTAATGAACCGACGGAATCGAATCTTTTTGTTTCCCCTCAAATGTAGGTATTATGGAGCCCTGTCAGTCGCTATTAATTAAAATTTAATTCATTTATTAATTTTTAAAATTTTTAACATTTTTTAAATTTCTCAAAAAAAAAATTCGACAGTAACTAAAACCATTTTTGTTCCCATAAAACTCAGCTTTGTTTGCAATTCAAAGAACTTTTTTCTTTCTAGTATTTTTGTTCTTTTGTTCATCAATCTTCTTCATAAAAAATTGATGCCTTAATGAATTTTCAATTCCATTGCAGATCTCACGTGCTCCAGAAGGTGTGCATGTACTTCACCTACAAAGTTCGTTACACCAACAGCAGCACTGAAATCCCAGAGTTCCCCATAGCCCCTGAGATCGCTCTGGAGTTACTGATGGCTGGCAACTTCCTAGACTGTTAGAAAATTCAAAGAACCTACCACTAAGCAACAAAAATGAACATGAACATTGGAAAAATCTCAAAACTCGAGTTTGTGATTGAGAAAATGTGGAGCTTACTGTCAAAATGCGGAGGCCACGAATTTTTTCGTCTGTATATATTTTTCTCCTTTCCTTTTTTTCCATTAAGTGCTGATTGCATCAGTGATCGGAAGTTTTTTTTTATGATTTTCTCACGACGAGGGATTAATTCGCAGAAGACCTCAAATTCTGATCAGGGCATTGATGAAACAATTCATCTCGTGTGCGATTTCATTTCATTGCGTTATTATATTTTGTTTAGCAATCACCAACACTGAGAAGTAAGAAAATGAAACTGAAAATCCGATTTGATAAAAATAGAAAAAAGTTCAAATGACTTCATGCAAGTTCAAATACATAAAAGATTGCAAATAAAATTTTGAAAAATTAAAAAAAATATTGAGAATCTTTTGTTTTCTCTACATACCCCATTCACCTGAATAAAACCCCTTAGGGTTCAATTTATCATGAAAAATCAAATCTATATCCAGCATAATTTTTCTAAATCTTTACATTTAAACTTTTTTTGCAGTTTTTGAGGAATAACCAAAACTGAAATGATCTTCATCCCTATCTTTTTGTTTACAGAAAAGTGAATCATGTCCATAATAATTCATATAAATCTTCAAATTCGAACAGAACCTCAATGCACACGTTTACACGATGATTTGACGTTTATTTATTAACATAAACAATACAAAATAAACAATAAAAATTGGAAGTCATTAATTTTGTCTCATGATCTTCTGGTTTTATCAATTAATGCAGTTTTCAAGAATGACAAAAATAGAAACAAATATCTCTTCCCCCAATTGCATTGTTTCTTCATCTTAAAATTTGGCCTCGAATCTTTTGGAAAAGACACAAAGAATCCACATGGATTCAAATTTCCATTTCATTGAAAAAGACGAAAAAAACGTTCAATTACATTTTTTTATAATTTTATTTACACAAAAGTTTCAATTATATCCACAATAATTTATATAAACCCACAAAAATGGAAAAAAATTTATTTTTCACTCTCCATTTTCATTTGCTCCTATTCGCTTATAATCTCTTGAAATACGCAGCAAGTTTGTAAACAGCGTGTTCTAAAAAAAATTCCATAGGAATTCAAATTTTTTTAATTCTTCGAAAAAGAAAAAGACGTTAAACTATAATTTTCCACGATTTTATTTACAGAAAAGTTTAAATTATGTCCACAATAATTTATATAAATCCTTAAATTCAACCAGAACGTACATTTGAAATAATAAATTCTCAATGCACGTATTTACATGATGATTTAACACTTATAAACATAAATAATACAAAATAGGATCGTACCCATTAATTTTGTCTCATGATCCCCTTTTATCAATTAATGCAGTTTTCAGGAATGACAAAATTCTAAAGAAATCCCTCTCTCTCCCCTCATTTTCATTTATTTCTGTTCTCTTTTTCTAAATCCTTAAACTTGGCTTCTAGTCTCTTGGAATAGGCAGCCAATTTGTAAGCAGCCTGCTCCAATTTAGCGACACTGTCGTCGATTTGATTGATATTCTCCAGCACTGGCTGCAGTTTTTTGTATTTTTGATTCAATGCATCCAGAGACTGGGACACATTGCACGATATTGTCTTTAGTTCAGCGTATTTGGCTATTGCTTCTTTGTTCAATCGTTCCAGGAGACGATAGTCTGCGTGGGTTGCTGTCAACTCCTTCTGCAGGTACTCCCCAGTCTTCTGGAACATTGCGTTGGCTAGGCGACTCAGGTTGGGGTCGTGGGGGTCTAGGGCCTCGAAGGAACTTGTGCTTGTTGAGAGGGTTGTTCCACGTTTTGGAGATTCACAGCGCTGGTTTCCATCGTCCAAGTTGTCGGTTGGAAGGGCGTTCACGTGGGGGTCCTCCAAGTTGTCGTTCATTGTTGGGTTTTTGGGAAAAATTTTCTAAAAGAACAAAAGTAATGAAATAGTCATGACTTTTTAGAGATTGCTGCAACCGAGATCCATTTTTTAATTGCTAGAAATGTGAAAAAGATTGTTTTTTGATCGTTTCTAGTAATTTTTCCTTATATAGAATGGAATTGATAGAATTTCGCACTAAAAGTTTCGCTAAACAATTCTGTTCAACGATTCGGCAGCTTTTACACGCCTTTTTTAGATATAAATTGAACTTGTTTTTCACTTTAATTCTGGATGAATGGAGGAACTATTTATTTTAGATGATTAGAACGTTTTCATTGAAATCAATACCTGGGTTAATTTGCTTTCAACAAAAATATTGCTGAATTATGAGATTTATCATTTCATTTCCCCAGAAATTCAATAGAATTTCAAATCTTCGAGCAATGGGATGACGAGAATCACCTAACTTACTTGGATTTTCAATCAAAACATGAATATTCAGTACCAAATTACTCTGAGATCTCAATTGAAAATGCCAGAATATAATTACCTGAATTTTTCTCATTTCTATTCATTTTCATGAACCAATTGGACTAAAGTCCAAAATTTCCATTGATTCTTTCATCAAATTGTGAATTTTCAATGACAAAATTTTTTGAAACTTCAGTGTAATAACGACATCGTTTATATAAAAATGCGTACTTGAAGATGTGCATGTCTTAGCAATAAATTTCTCCAGTTTCTCCCCAATTCCTCTACGAAAACCGATCAATAAACGATCCCCATTCGATCCAGAATTATTCCTACCTTACCCTCAAAAATTTCAATTACATTTCTTTATAATTTTATTCACACAAAAGTTTCAATTATATCCACAATAATTTATATAAATCCTTAAATTTAACCAGAACGTACATTTGAAATAAGAAAATTCTCAATGCACGTATTTACACGATGATTTAACACTTACAAACATAAACAATACAAAGTAAGATCGAACCCATTAATTTTATCTGATGATCCCGTTTATCAATTAATGCAGTTTTCAGGAATGTAAAAAATCGAAAGAAATCCCTCCCCCCCCCATTTTCATTTACTCCTATTCCCTTCTAGTCTCGTGGAATAGGCAGCCAATGTATAAACAGCTTGTCCTAAAAAACATTCCACATAAATTCAAATTTTTTTAATTTTTTGAAAAAGAAAAAAAGACATTCAACTATAATTTTCCACGATTTTATTTACAGATGCATAATTATTCCTAGCTTACCCCCAAAAATTTTCCCCTTGTCGGGGATTGTTTGATTGGAAAAATTAGTTCAGTAAAAATTACGGAACTCACAATTCACTCACCGATTACGGAATCGACTTAGAAAATTTAAGTGACGGTATCGTAATTTTTCACAGGAGATTCGGATAAAAATTACGGAACGCTCCGGAAAAATTCTGTGATAGTTCCATAAAATTTCCTACAACCACATTTCGCTCCGGAATTACGGAAAAGACGTAATTTTTATTGAATATTCTCTCTGTGCCCAAAAACAATTCCTCTTTTATCCCAGGGCTATTATTCTGTCACCTTAGAAACGTTTCAGGCATAAATTAATACGAAAGAGGAATGCTATATTTCCATTCATTATCATGATTTCTAAATACGGCCTACAATTTTTTAATTAACAATCGGCAAATTGAAGAATTCCGAGGCACATGGACTACTGAGACTCCTGGAATAACAATTCCGGTAAATGAACTCATCAACCAAACAAAATAACGCCAGAAAAATAAATTCTTCCTCACAATTTCTCCATAAAAATCTATAAATAAACAACTCCCATAAGATCTTAGATTCAACCCCATAACAATTATATGATAGTTCTCATTTTCTCCACCCCATCCCCACAAACCTCCAATCATCAATGAATCCTCAACTGTCAGATCATTTCTTCCAAGACCAATTCGTCGTTTATCTCAGATCTATTATTCTATCACCTTAGACGTTCGTCAGACATAAATTAATATGAAAGAGGGATACTAAAACCTGTATCTTCATTCACTATCATGCTTTCTACATAAGATCTATAAATTTTTAATCACCAATCCACAAATTAAACAATTCGGAAGCACACGGATCGAGACTCTTGAAATGAAAATTCCTAAAATTAACTCATCAACCAAACAAAATATCGACAGAAAAATAAATTCTTCTTCATAATTCCTCCACAAATATCTATAAATAAACAATCCCCATAAGATCTAAGATTGAAGCTCATAACAATTATCTAATGCTTCTCATATCCTCCACCTCATCCCCACAACCCTTCGATAATAAATTAATCCCCAACCGTCAAATCATTTCCTCCAAGACCAATTCCTCTGTTATCTCAGATCTATTATCTATTATTCTACCACCTTAGACGTTCGTCACGCATAAATTAACATAAAAGAGGGATGACCTATAAATTTTTAATCAATAATCCACAAATTAAAGAATTCGGAAATACACGGATTGAGACTTCTGAAATTACAATTTTTATAAATTAATTCATCAACCAAACAAAATATCGGCAGAAAAATAAATTCTTCCTTACAATTCCCCCCAAAAAATCTCTAAATAAACAATTCCCATAAGATCTTAGATTCAACCCCATAATAATTATATGATAGTTCTCACTTTCTCTACCCCATCCCCACAAACCTCCAATCATCAATCAATCCTCAACTGTCAGATCATTTCCTCCAAGACCAATTCGTCGTTTGTCTCAGACCTATTACTCTATCACCTTAAACAATTAATATGAAAGAGAGATGCTAAATTCTGTATTTTCATTCACTATCATGTTTTCTAAATAAGCCCTATAAATTTTTAATCAACAATCCACCAATTAAAGAATTCGGAGGCACATGATTGAGACTCCTGAAATTACAATTGTTATGAATTAACTCATCAACCAAACAAAACAGTGATAAAAAATGAATTCTTCCTCATAATTCCTCCACAAAAATCTATGAATGAACAATCCCCATAAGATCTAGGATTAAATTCCATAACAATTATCTAATACTTCTCGTTTCCTCCTGCCCATCTCCGCAAATCTCCAATCATCAATCAATCCCCAATCGTCAAACCATTTCCTCCAGAAATTGCCCTCCAAGAACAATTCCTCTTTTATCCTACATCTACTATTCTGTCACCTTAGACGTTCGTCAGGTATAAGTAATATCTCGATATGAAAGAAAGACACTAAGTGTTATATCTTCTTTCACTATCAAATTTCTAAGTAAGACCTACCTATAAATGTTTAATTAATAATCTACAAATTAAAGAATTCGGAGGCACATGGATTGAGCCTCTTGAGATTACGATTTTTATAAATTAACTTACCAACAAAACAAACACCGTCTTCTTCACAAAAGAATCTCCAAATGACGTTGGAGGCTATGTTCGATTCCCGCGAGACATCACGTCCCGACTCATGCGCACTCCCCACACCATCGCCCACTGACAGCACACTGGGCACAATCAGCTGTGCCTGTCACCATTATTCACGTTTGTTGTCACTTAATAACGCCCTCGCGATAAGGAAAAACCGAAGGAAAACCACCTCCACCTCAAGTTCAGTGTCGTGGCAATCGTCTGAGCGACGATTCGCAAGCAAAACTCGTGAAAAGCCCTCGCAATGTCGATGAAATAAGAAAATTAACGGGAATATGTCTCAGCCAGACTATGAGCAGACGACCCACGACCACGCGGCCCTCCTGGTCCTCCTGAGGCCCATCGGCTCCCAGATAAAGCAGAAGACACTGCTGAGACTCTGCGAGAGGATTATCAAGAGCGGGAGTACACTCACCATCCCTGAGTCCTCTGGAGCGACTCGGGAGATTTACGTGAGGTTCGTCAAAGATCATCCGGTGGAAAACAGCGACTGGGGGGACTTTCAGACCCACAGGAAACTCCTGGGACTCTTCACGTTTGGGAAGTATGAGGATCAGACGGAGTTGAATGAACTTTGCAGGCTGCATGAGACTTTAAAGGTATATGCTGATCGTTTTAGTAGTGAAGTAAAAGCTTCAGACTTTTTGAAGCATCAGTATCAACTGAAGAAATGATGTGATTTGGATGAATTAGGGCTCATTTTGAAAGGATTTTTTCGGGGTTCAAAATGAAAGAAAAATTATTGAATTTCACTCTGCCGATCTTGAGATATCGATGGGGAAAAACGTGGAAAACTAGGGTGAACAGGCCAATTGATGGACGGTTAAGGATGTTTAGTCATTTTCAGCAAATCTTATTTTTGCTTCCGAATGGAAGCATTGTAATCGTTCAAATTTAAGTTTTCCACTTTTTGTGTTATATCGACCCATTATGATCCCAAAAGTCCAAAAATGCATTTTTTAGACTGTTTTGTACGTTCGTATGTGTGTATATAACAAACTTTTTCTTCAATTTCTCGCTAATAAATAGATGGAATTGAATCATTTTTTTCTCAAATGTAGGTATTGCTAAGGCCTATCCATCGCCATTAATTAAAATTTAATTCATTTATTATTTTTTTTAATTTTCGAATTTTTTCAAAATTCAGTTGTGACACGATAATTAAAAAATAATGTTCTAAATTCATTGAATGATGGCTTAAAAAATTCGTTGGGATGTCCTTTTGGCCGAGTTCGAAGATGAAAGCGATAGCAATAATCGTTATTTTGATTTCTGTGAAATTATTCCGAAATACCGTATTTTTCGTATTTTTCGAAAATCAGAATTTCGCAGATATCTCTGGATATTGCGTTTCAAATGAATTCAATCATAGCTTAACATGTTTTTTTCAATGCGACAATGACGACGTTAAAAGGTGGTTACAATAACTGTCTCGTTTAATTTGCTTTTTACGATAATTTTTGAAAATTTCGAATTTTTCATGAATTCCCTTGAACGTTAGCTTTCTGATGGTTCCCTTAAATGTGATGTTTCGAATGCATTCAATTATGTATGAATGAAATATTCTTGATGATATTTCATTGAAATTTTCAGAAATTTTTAGAATTTCATTAAGTGGAAAATCTAAAACAATTAGCTGGAAAGAAATTAATTCAATTCAAGAAAATCAAATAGGCTATGAATAATATACAAGGGAAAAAAATAAGCAAAATGACCATTCGGAAGCATATTGTTAATTTATTAGCAAAAACAACTGTAGTGTACGCAATACATGAGCAATTTCCCACTTGTTTCATGTTCAAGGAAAATTCTGTAATTTTTTTGGCTGATAGCAGAACATATGAAACTAATTTCTTTGATGTTAAATAAAAATTACTCGCAACAGTCTCGCCCGAAATAAATAAACAAATTTTTCTTTATACACGGGCTCTTATGGGATTTATATTGAAATTTACAATTCACCTACTAGAAAACTCTAAAAATAGAAATAAACATAGAAGGTAATGTGTAAAACTATACTGAATCGAATGGCCAGAGAAAAATTGGGGGTACCCGGGCAAAAAGAGAAAATATTTAAAAGATTCTATCCCATATCAGCGCACGTTGGCGCATACGTTTGCAAAATCAATTTTTTTTCAATACTTGCGATAAACATCCTTAAAAGAAATTCAAGTTTCGTGGTGGGATCTAAAATAAAAGAATCACCTGAATGGAGATATGATGGCTTCCATACCTTTTAGAATGTTTTAATTAACAGAAAAAAAATATTTCAAGTGAAAATAACAAAACAAAGAATAATTAGGGGAGGGTGCGTGGGGCAATGTTAATTGTGGGACGCCAGATTTAAATAATGAATTGAATTGCATCAATCCTACTGTTCCGACTTCATTTGAAGTTTATAAAAACGAACATATTGTCATAAGACGCGTCATAGGAGATGTAAGGGAACGCAAAAAAGGGGATAAAATGGATACTTCGATTTCTTCTTCAATTTCTTATGTTTCAATAATATTATTCAATTTCCGAAACACTAGTCATGATGTGATTTTCAAATTGAAAAAAAAAAGTCATTTTTTACTTTCGTCGTCGGGGGTGGTAAACCAAATTTTTCTTTGCTCATTTATCCTCCCCTTCCCCATTGTTTTATGGTGATTTCGTTTGTGAGTAGAAAAGTATTTTACAAATTTCACAAATGGACAAAAGGTCAGCTGTATAGGGCGTGCAATTATTCATTGAAAAAATGAATAATTTCAAAATTATTTCAGTAGTAAATCAGGAAATCCAAAGCTACTCTATATTTCAAACTCCAGTGTAAAATTTAATAGAGTTGTATTTTATTTATTCATATTTCTTCGAACATCTCTAATTTCTCTCTATAAAAAGATACACGATTCTATTAGAAAATGCCTGTTGTCAATTTTTTTGACTTTTGAATAGGATCAACTTTTTCGGGTGTCCATTGTACCGCACTCTTGAATAATTTTTCGGTTGTGGACTTTGCAAAGAATCTATTTAAAAAAATTGTATTATTCACAATTTTTTGGGCGTCCATTTTAGCCAATCCTATACAAAATTTATCAGGTGTCCAAACTACCTAATGGAACAACTGTTTAAAAATTTAAATTTTGAAAAAAAAATTTTTACCAAACTGTAAAAGATACTTGGATATCCTTAAACTCGAATTTTCAATGAAAAGACTGCGAAAGCTCTAATGAAAAATCATGCAAAAGGGAAGATTATAACTCCTTTAGCGCCGCTATTTGACTACTTGACATATTTTCCGTACCATTCTTCCTCAGGAATACGGCAAAAATGAAGGAAAAATTCCCTCTCAATTAGTTTTTGGGATATACCTAAGCCTTTCAATCCTTATTTTTCAAGATACGAACATTTCCATAAAGTTTCGTATAGATACTCCACATACAAATTCATACACACATTCCCACATTTGAATTCAATGATTATATTTACAATATCAAAACAACAAAACTCTATTTTAATAGAATTTTTTTTGTTGGAGATTTTTTTGATTGAATTTTTTTTCTGCAAAAATTGCAACAACAATCGCAAAAGTTCAGTCAACAAAATCTGCAACAGAAGAATTTTCCTCAGTCAAAAGCCCATTGAACCAAGGCAGTGTCACCCTTGTGACCTTAGCGATTCCTTTTTTTTATGACTCTTGTGACCCTCGTGACCCTTGTGACTTCTTTTTTTTTATGACTCTGTGACTTCGTGGCCTTACTGACTCTTTTTTTGTGAGCGTTGTGACCTCACCTTAAGTTGGGAGAGCACCTGATACATAATTAGAAGGTCTCGGATTCAAATCCTAGTCTGAACTTTCAAATTTTTTCAGTAAATTTGCCTTGTTAACTAATATTGAGAATTATTTCGACTCCCCCCATACCTACTCCAAAATCCTATCCAGCAATATCCAGTGATGCCACAAGATGTGGAACGCTATATAAAGCTCCGTCTTCTGTGAAGAATCTCTATAATTCAGGAGAAATAATGGAGATGGATTTTTTTCATTATTTTTCCCGTAATCCCGGCGAAATAAGGTACGGAAAACATAAGTTAAATCGTCGCGCCAAAGGAATTGTAATCATGCCATGCAAAAAATTGCATCCCCAATTTTTTCCCTCGGGATGAGCTCCCATTCGCCAAACGTCTCACATTTCACCACATCCCCCCCTCCCCACTTCAACAGGTAAAATACATGTCAACCCTCTACGATTCCCGAGCGATTCTCTTCGGACCAGCGGAGTCCCCCACAGTAAACGAGCCCCCAAAAGATTTCACGACCCCCTCAAACTTCAAGACCCGAGCCGCCTTTTACGGGGACGACCAATGTCCCACCCTTGAATCTCAAGTAATTGATTGTCTGCACTCCCTCTTCTGGATTCTCGAGGCCCAGAGGCTAAAGAGATCCAGAGAGAAGATAGACCGCGTACCGCTGCTGATGGCCGCCTTCGAAAAGAAAGACTTCATAGGTCTGGACCTCGAGTCCAGGAACAACCGGAAACGCTGCTTCGGCAGGATGACAAAACACCTGGGGGACCTCTGCCTCCAAGCGGGTCTGTGTGCAGACGCTCTAAACAACTACACCTCCGCCGTAGGCATCCTGCAAGGGGTCAACGACTGGCTGTGGCTGGGGGCAGCCTACGAGGGTCTCTGCGCAGCCTCCTCCCTCGTCCTCTACCCCAACCTCCGGAGGAACCTCCCCCTCCAACGAAACTCCTCCCTGCAGGAAGGATCTCCAGGCAAGAATCGACGCGGCTCGCAGCCCCTGCCAGCCCTTCCCCTGCCCCCCTCAATCGAAGAGCTCAAAGTCCAGATGCCACACATCCTCCCACCTGAAGATATCCCCGAGAAGTACTCCAAAGCGATTGTCCACTACAGCAAGTACCAAAACGCTGGTATAATCGAGACTGAGGCGAGTTTCAAAGCCACCAGAATCTCAATCGAGCAGAACTGCACGATCCAAGCGGCATCCTTCCTCAACAACGTCGTCTTCAACAACATCGACTGGAGTGAACAGGAGAAGATCGACAGATTCACGAAGCTCTCGGAGCTGTTCTCAACCATCGGCTTCGCCCGGAAGGCCTCCTTCTGCATGAGATTAGCAGGAACTAGACACATCTCCCAGAAAAATCCGAACCCCGACTGGCAGCAGTGCTACAACCTAGTCCTGCAGTCCTGCCCAGGGTTCAAATTGTCCTTGGACCCTGCGGAGATGCCAAGCAATCGTAGGCGAGGCTGGCCGGCGATTCAGATTAAGATCATCAACGAACTGATTGTCGCTGCAAACAGAATGGGAAACCTTGCTCTGGCCACCAGACACATGACCTTTCTCCTTCAGACGATGTTCAATTACCTGACGCCGTCTGAACGACGAGATGCCGCGCTGCAATTGCAGAGCGTCGCACAGCAGTGTGAGGGCGCCCCGGTGCTTCTTGTTCTCCCATCCGGAATTGTCATTCCCCCGGCGAATCTGACGAACATTCCGAGGACGAGATCGTTTGTTTTGAAGAATCTCCAGCCCCACCTCCAGCCGCAGAAGATCGAGAGGGTCAAGGAGGATCACGGACCCTTCCTCTTCACGCCCATCAATTTTGGATCCTTGGAGAGACGGACTAAGTCGAAAAGCAAAGTTGATTACCTGTGGGTTGAGGGAGACGTCTGTGAGGTGTCGCTGCAACTGGTCAATCCTCTTCCGTTCGAGCTGAATGTCTCTAATATGAGACTGTTGACGAATGGAATCGTCTTCGATCCTCTTCCAGAGAGCATCACACTCCCCGCTGAGTCCGGACCCATCGCGGTCACCCTCGCGGGGACTCCGAAGGAGATCGGGGAGCTGGAGATCTTGGGGTTCAGTACTCATACGCTAGGCGTCAAATCGAATTGCAGATTGAGGAGCATGGAGGGCATGCCCCATCCTCAGTACTCTGTGGAAGTTGTTCCTAGTCTACCGAAGATCGACGTGGCGACCAGTCTTCCCCAGACTGCGAGCTTCTCGTCTGGCGAGAATATCGTCACGAGCGCTAGCATATCTCTTTACGGGGGTGAGAGTGCAGAATGCACCATCACCATTACGAATGTTGGACAGGTGCCCATAGAGATGATCGAGGTCTCCATTAAGTCGGCCCTGGACGCATTGACAGAGTCCAGAGTCTTCAAGTGGAGTGATGAGAACCTGAAGACTCAGCTGCCTCTCCAGTCTGGGACTTCAGCCAGTCTCACGCTTTATCTTTACGCTGACACGAACTTTGTCGTGCCGAATAATAAGATGAATAGCTCTTTTGGGAAGGGTTCTCTGGGGAATTCCTTGGGGAACTCTGGGAGCAAGTCCTTGCCGTCGAGACTGACGCCGTCCCATCACACAAAGAGGCAAAGCGGACTGACTTCCTCCATGCGCTCCGCGTTGAGCTCACACTCCTCCAGTTCTTCGAGCTCGGGGAATTCCCGAGTTTCGAAACTAGCGACGCCTGTGGTGGCGTCCAACATCACTGAGGGACAGCTGAAGATAAGGTATTCTGGGGCGAAGGGGCTGACCGCTGGGTTCTGCAGGGTCTCAAGTGTCTTCATTACTATTGAGATGCTGCCCAGTGTCCAGATCACCAGTTGGGATGTACTTCCGGCTGAAACTCCCTCGCAGTTCTATCTCGTACTCGATGTCACTAATATGACTAATCATGAGATGGAGCTGCATTACACGCAGAGCAAGTGCATCTATATGGAGGGGAGGGAGTCCTGCAGGATCCCAGTGCCAGCGAACAGGTGTCCTTTGAGCAAGCTTGCGGTGATGAGTGAGGGGGAGCTGCAGAAGATTTGCGCGGAGCATATTGCGGGCCTGGTGGACCTCAAGTGGCAGTTGCTGGGGACTGATGCTACGGGGAAGGCGGGCATTGCGGGGATCTCTTTCACGCAGGATATGCTAGATCTTGTGAGGATGAGTCCACTCCAGTGGGGTAAGGACTGTTTTTTTAAGGATTTTTAATGGTTTTTATTGATATGGGAAATCGGGGGAAATTAGAGTCTACAAGAAATTACGGATCAGAACAATTCAAGATGCTTTTTTTGTCTAGTTGACGGTCAAATGGAGGGTCAAATGACCTTGGACGATGTGTCGGGTCAAGGGTCGAATGACCCTTTTTGATCCTTCTATTTTTCTGTTTTTAGTTGGGATTTAAATGGTTTTGAAGCTCAAAAAATTTTTAAGGATGTTTGGGTTGAGGGTCAAATCGTCTTAAGGGTCAAAGGACCTTTGGCGAGGTGTAGGGTCAACGGTCAAATGATCCTTTTTGATCCTTCTGTTTTATAATTTTTAGTTGGGGTTTGAATGGATTTGAAGCTCAAAAATTTTTTAAGGATGTTTGGGTTGGGGGTCAAATCGTCTTAAGGGTCAAAGGACCTTTGGCGACGTGTAGGGTCAAGGGTCAAATGACCCTTTTTGATCCTTCTATTTTATAATTTTTAGTTGAGGTTTGAATGGTTTTGAAGCTCAAAAGACCCTTGAAGAGGTTTATGGTTGAGGGTCAAATCGTCTAAGGGTCAAAGGACCTTTGAAGACGTGGAGGGTCAAGAGTCACTTGACCCTTTTTTGATACCTCTGATTTTGATTTAGTTTTTAGTTCAGGGACAATTGGTGTTGAGGGTCAGGCGCCATTTAAAAACGTTTGGAGTAGTTGAGGGTCAAAGTACCCTTTTCCTGATCAATTCATTAGACCCTTAAGGCCTTTTGTTCTTAAGGATATCCAAGTAATTTGGCTACTTTTTTCTTCAATGAATGCTTCTCTACTTTTGTAGTCGAACATCGGAGCTTTCATTTCAACCCCATTTCACCCTAAGTCTTCGGATATTTTACAATGATTTTATTATTCAAACTTTGCAGGTCTGAATTTGAATCTCGATATTGAATCGCTAGAAAATATTTTATCTGAAAAAAATCTGAAAAATAATTCGAGACTTTACTTTTGGAGGAGGATGAAATAAATAAAAATTGCAATTTTTGAAAACTACGAGCATTTTATGTAAATAATTTATAAAAAATCAATTTTCTATCATAAAAATAATTTGTTTGGAATCGTAACAAATTTATACTTATTCAGAATTTTACCAGAAATCGATTACATAGCTAACAAAATAAGGTTTCCGAAAGTTTAAACAATTACAATTATTTATTTATAAACAACGGATGTTTTATAATAATAATAATTCTGTCCAAGATATAATTTTAATGACGCTGAATGTTCACAATTCTTTTCAACTTTTTCTCAAATAATTTTATTGACAAACTTGATGATGGAAAATGATTGAATCTGCAGGGTGGTCTATACCAAATTGTAAAAGATCCTTGGATATCCTTAAACCTTAGGACCATTCGACTCACAACTAGAAACCAAAAAAAGTCTCTTGAATTGTGCAATTTTTCGAGTAAAATAGTCGTTTTTCCTGGTGTTTCTTAAAAAAATATAGGACATAACAATTTCCTTGACATCGTTGAATATGTTCTTCTTGCAGAGGTAATCATCAATGACACTGCCGTCAAACCACAAGACGAAATAACATGCGGATTAGGAGAATGCGTGAGCATAGGAGTTGGTGTCTGCAATGCTCTGGAGCATCCCCTCAGTGACTTGAGTTTATCGATCAATTTCTATCAGGATCATCACAATGGAGTTAACAATTATCGATTGGACACGAGATTATCAATTGCCGGGGCCAACAAAGTCATGCTTCCAACGGTAAATAAAATTTTTTTTCTTCTGAGAATAATTCAATATTGAGGAAAATTTTTGGAAAATCATCTCAAGTGGAATTAACGAGAAAAATCATCGTTTTAGTTGCAGGAATATGGAAGAGCCTATCACGAGTGTCGTGTCGTATTCTTCACAGCTGGACAGTACAAAATAGATATTCAATGCAGTAGTCAAAAAACAATTTCCAATTCAAGCAGCATATGTTCGGATATCATGAATGCAGGCCACATTTGGAGGTATATACCACCAATTGAAATTGCTGTAGATGATTCATAATGTTAATAGTGATTGTTTATTGCCGTTGAAAGTGTCATCACAATTATTGCCTGTGAAAATATTTATAAGCTTAATAAAGATGATTTTCTAAAATTACAATATCTCACTTTTTTTTACAAAAGCGAGCAAGGCACAATCAGTTGCATTAAATCTTCAATTTTTTGCTGCTGAATGGAAGCATTGGAATCGTTCAATTTTTGAATTTATTAATTTCGCTTGGAAATGATGTAGCTTGATCTAAAAGATAAAAATACGAAGTTTAATCATCATGTGTATCCATCTAGTTGTCAACTTTTAAAAAATCGAATGAATAGATGACTAAAATAATTCCAAAAAACCTGTTATTTTGTCAGATTATAGATATTTGAGGATTAACTCTGTGCTCAAGTTCAGTCCAATCGATTTTGAGAAATCGGCATTTGTTTTACAATATTTTTTGCAACTATCTCGAAAACTACTTGACAAATTTCAATTTTTTTCATTTTAAAATATTCGTCTGGGCGCCTTCTATTTCAATCAGTAAAAAAATATATACTTGTTCATTCAAAATTTTCGAAACATTTCAATTTTTCGTTTTTTCACTTGAAATCCTTGTACGCACTCTCATTTTTTTTAAAAGTGAACATATCAACTTGTTTCAAATTAAAACACTAATTTAAACGAATAACTGAAAGTGTTTACACTTTCAGTTATTCGTTTAAAATCTTCGAAATTATCCATAACAATTTCCTATAAACTCATAATCTATAAACAAAATTCGAAAAATCTAGGTAATTCGCATTTTATTCAACATCCTCCATAATTCCATATCTCCCCTATAAGCGACCCCCAGGAAATGTCCATAAAATATATTTTAACTTGTATCAAAAAGTTATCCTAAAGAGATCTGAATGATACAAGATAAATTGTATCCAGAGATAGACATTATCATAAATTATCATTACCATTAATTTCATACATACTCAATCAAGTAATAGAACTTCACAATTTTCAATTATTAAATTAATCAACAATTGAATATTTAAATTCCTAATTATTTTATCAATCAATAATCGAATTCGGAAGAATGGCGATTATCTGATAATCACTTGTAATACCACAAGAGCTTCAAAATTATCGGGTATTTTCCGATAGGTTCGTTTGTATGCAGGGAACCTTGAGGAAAATGCCCGATTAATTTTGAAGCTCGTGTGGTATTCGGGGGATTATTTTTCCAATCCAAATGTCGGGCAATATAATTGGACGAGACGAAACTCACAATTGAGAAACGAAAATTGTATAATTAACACTCATTTCGAATAAAAATCCTTGGATTATCACAATTGAATTCAATCTGTCAGTTTGACGAGGGGTTAATTCGACTGCATGATGTTTTGTTTTTTATATAGCAACTACCAGAGAAAATTATCAAAAAATTATCAGTTGAAAACCCTGTAACTTGTACCACGTGATGTCGAATGGGCCAATTATATTGCCCGATATTTGGGTTGGAAAAATAGTCTCTAATATTTTTTAGGAAATATCCAATTATTTACCTAATAGTTATTTGAAAAATTTAAATTCTCAATTATTTATTATTTTCTAAGTTCCAATGATAAACGAATGAACTCGGTTATTTCGGGGAAAAACTTCTCTTAATCTTTCTGGAATAATAATTGACGCCGATCCCTGATTGTATCTCTTAGGCGACTTACAGGAAATTTTTTGACTCAAGTCAACACTTTGTGGGGAAATTTGGACAGTCTTTTTTATGACAAAAACTGGACTTCCGCAAGTCTGCTCCTTCGGATTATAGCGGGATATGATGTATATTCGCTGGCAATTTCAACGTCAATTTTTTATTGTAAAAAATGCAGATTCGTTACATATATATCTTCTGAGGAAGTAAGACGTATTCAATTTCTTACGCTTATAATTATTCTAAATTTATTCTTTTCTTTTCCTATTCCTGAAGCATTCACTTTCATCTTTCATTCTCCCATTCAGAATTATCATCGATATCAAAATTATTCTAATTAATATGAATCAATAAAAGAAACATTTTCAAAATTGTACGTCCCTGAGAAAATTGATAATGGTAAAGAACAAAACAAAAACAGAATAAAGAAAAGTGAAAAATATCAATCATCACTCCTAAAGTCCGAAAATCGTTCTGAGATCATCCATAGTGAGTTTCGCCGATTTGGCCTTGCCCCCTCCACTCAGCACAGTCTTCGCCAACTCCAACTTATCATCCTGCATCGACTTGATCTTCTCCTCAATAGTATCAGTGCACAAAAACTTATAAATAAAAACATTCTTCTTCTGCCCGAACCTATAAATCCTGTCTTGAGCCTGACTCTCGAGTTGAGGATTCCAATGAATATCCACCAGCATCAGATGATTAGCACCAACGAGATTTAATCCAACACCCCCAGCAGTCAACGAGAGCAGCAGAACCCTGGGATCCTTCTCATAATTGAAGCTATCAACAATAGCCCCCCTGTCCTTCACCTGAACCTCCCCAGTGAGACTTTTGAAAGTCGCCTTTTTGATCTTCGTAAGATTCTCTGCAATAATATTCAGGACACTCGTCCACTGGGAGACAATAATCACCTTCTCATCCTTCTTCAGGATCTCCTGGAGTAGATTCAACACAGCCCTCAGTTTAGAGCTCTCCCTGTCTCTCTCAAAAACAGGATTTTCTGAAGTGAGAAGATGTTCAGAGACCCTATCATCGACCTCAGCAGGACCATCCGGCACATCCTCATCCCCTTCAAGGGCATTGATCCTCATACTTCCCATTCTGTGTGCCAATCTCTCAGCCTCCAAGTCCTCCAGCCCTGTCTGCTCGATATCCTCCTGATCCAACATAGCATTAATCAAAGAAGGATGACAGCAGATTTGCCTCAGCCTCAAAAATAGTGTCAAAATCTGATGTGATTTAACATCTGCATGTTGAGCCAGCAGTCTCTGTTGTGCCTTATTAAAAGGGTTCTTACTCATCTCCAAACGCCTGTCGTAATACCCAGCCCCCATCCTGAACATGTGCTCCTTCTCTGCCCTCTGATGCAGAAACTGAGCGAAAATTGTCTTGGAATACAGCATCACCTTATCATAAACCACCCTCTCCTCAGGGTCCAACTCCACCCAGATAATTTCAAACATCTTGTCAGGGAGGTTCTCCACAGCCCCAGAATTCATCAGCTCCTCCTTCGTTCTCCTCAACATCAGGGTCTTCATAACAGTGGCCAAGCGATCGTGTCCAGCCTGATTCTTGTTATCCACCCAACGTTTCCAGACCCTGATGTCATTGAAGGGGGAGCACTGAAGGAACTTCAAAACGGAGAACAGATCCATCTCCTTATTATGGATGGGGGTTCCTGTCAAAACCCAACGGTTCTTAGCCTCGAGAGCACAGACAGCCTCGCAGACCTGACTCTTATGGTTCCTGATGACGTGGCCTTCATCCAGGATCACTCGTTTCCATCCAATCCTTAAGAGAACTCCATTCACCTTGTGCTCTCTGGATAATAAGTTGTAAGTAGTTATCACCAAGTCGTTCTTTGCGAGTCTTTTAGGGATGTTTTCCCTCTTGGTCCCGTGGTAGACCTCCACGTTGAGGAGACCCTTCTTGCACCTTCTCTTGACCTCTTCCTCCCACTGACCTATCAAGGATGCAGGGCAGACTACAAGGGTTCCTCCAGTGGGTTTCGACGACCTCTGCTTGGACCTCCATTCACCTTCTGACTCTCCTCCACTGTCCTCTGAGTCCATGCTTTTCAAGACGAGGGAGATCATAGTCAGGGTCTTTCCCAAGCCCATGTCGTCTGCGAGAACACCCCCAGGAGGGTTCTGGTTCTCTCGCCATGCCATCCAGGCCAGGGCGTGTTTCTGGTGAGCCATTAAGGGGACTTTGAGCCCTCTGGGGTCCTCTGCCTGCTCGTCCTCTCCTGGACGGGAGTTTAGGGATCCGTGGAAGGACTTCAGGGTCTCCACAGTGAGGGCTTGCTCTCGCTCGAAGGTCTCTAAGGCCTTTCTTCCCAGCTCTCCGATCGGAGCTGTTGTGGGGCGATTCAGCAGGTGAGAGTGTTTCGGAGTTGGAGGCACATCTTCGTCCGAGTCGGACGGGATGTACTCGGGGTCTTGGGGACGGTGGGTCTTCGGGATCTGGAGGGGACTCGGAGAGAGGGTATAGGGGTAGTTCTCTACGGAGGAGGGGGTGGTAACTTTGGGGGAGGTGTGGTACTCTTCCTCTACTAGACGACATTCTGCGAGTTGCTTGCGGATGTGGTGCACTTGGGCTTCCGTCTCTGATGCTCTGTCCAGGAATTTTTTACCTGGAGGTAGAGAATTTTGTCATGCGTGGGGAGCTCAATTTTTATGTGGAGAGGAATTAATTAAACAAATAGCCAGAATTTTTTATTGATGAATTTTTCGAGAACAAATTGCATGAAACCGACTGTTCCATTTTGAGTCTAAACATTCAATATCTTTGATTAGGTAATTGGATATTTTCAATCATCAAATTTGTTGTCAATAAAAAAAATCCATTTTTTTTAAAGTCCCCACGAAAGAATTGAGCGCAAGAAATTATATGAATTGACCATTAATACCAATTATTGAAAAATTATTACAAAACTCTAAGAAATCAATTTTTTAAGAAAAAATTGCATGAGCTCGAATATATTATTCAGAATCACAACTTTAGATATTTTTGATTAAATTGTGAAATGAGTAATTAGATATTTCTAATCATTAAATTTATCAACTGAATTGTGTAAGAAAAAGATATTCTAAGTAATGAATAAAATTATTGCAAAATTTTCGACATCCAGGGCAAAATGAGGCTTAAAAGAAGGCTCCGATATTTAGCTTAAAATGTTGAAAAGACGAACACGCTTTACTGTTTTCAAATAATGAAATAAAAAAAAAGTCCACTGTTCATAAATGACAACAATCTAAAAAATATAAAATTCAAATGAAAAATCAATCACAGGATTCGAGACGCACAAGACAATGCTTTGCAATAATGATCTCAATCGATTCCCAATTAGTTTTGTAAAGCAACTTTTGCTGGATGAACAAACTAAGATAATAAATTTTGAAGAATGTGAAAAAACTCACCTTTATCAGGAAGCAATTCAACCTTTCCAGAATCAATGAAGGTCATCATCTTCGCCAACTCCAGTTCCTTCTTCTGTAGCTCAATTGCCAGCAATGCTCGACGTTGAGCCATCAGAGGGTCCACATTTTTGAGTCCTAGTTCCTGTTGAGCATATGATAAAGCTGCAGCCTCTCCAGTGGAACGGTTCTGCTCCTCCCTCTGGACGTCAGAGTCTGAGGGAGTATCCGAGTCGATAGAGATGATTTCCTTGGCGCGGACTGAATTACTCCCCTCATCAGACGAGATGATGTATTGAGGACGAACCTCAAGCTTTTTTGGTTTTGATTTTGATATTGAAGCCTCCTCATCACTGCTGGAGTTCTCGATGATAAAGGAGTCTGAGACACGAGAGTGTGTGGAGTGACGAGGGGTTTTTTTCAGACTCCTGGAGGTGCGTGAAGTCTTGCGGAGCCCCAGGGTGGTAGTGTCCTTGGGGTTCGAGCTTCGACCACTGTCTGGGTCCTCTTCATGCTCCTTTGAAGTTAAATCTTCGATCGAGGTGATTAGGCTAGCGGACCTTCTGTCGGATTTCTCATGGGATCTCTCTTGGTCCTCGTACGAGCTGTCCAGGTGGCTGGTCCTGAAGTCTGAGGACTTCTGGTGGCTTCTGTGAGACACTTCGTGGCGGGATTTTATGGGGGAATCATTGTCACTGGAGTCTACAATGCGATTTAGTCGTTTTTTTTGGGTTGGAATAAATTCTTCGTCTTCAGAGTCAGATGTGTTGAGTTCACGGGCTAGAATGAAAACATTTTCTTGTAAATTGTTTGGTAATTTTGGAATGATTAAAGTAAGATTCTAAATTTAATCCTTCAAGTACGTCGTCTATATCCCGCCGTATGTCCTAAGCGACCTCCTGTCAACTCCAATTTGTTTGTTCAATACGCGGTAACTTCTATTGATGATCAGAAAATTATGAACTAAAATTTAATGATAATCTTGTGCTTTCACGAAAAAGTTGTTCAATCACGGAATTCCTTCAGGCAGATTTTTCTGTAATCTTCGAGACCAATCAGTTCAATAGTACAAACGGTTGCCAAGATCGGCGGTTATCGGAAATTTGTTAATAACAAATTAGTAATTCACTGAATCGAAATCTCGTTTACGCCATACACCAAAGGAATGAATGTAATGTATGTTCGATAAAAAATTCTGAATTTTTTATAAAAAGAATTTGAAGGCCCGGGTGGAATATCTTTCGAACGTTATCTCAATTGTTTTTCCATCTTCATAATAATGCAAAATATATTATAATTTCCATTGGATTTTACATCACGCCGGAGTCCCTAAAAATTATAATTGCACAATAAAAAAAAATAGAAAAAAAACTGAACATTTTCAAAGGGTGTTTTCAATAAAGATTAAGAAATAAGTCTGAAAGAGAGGAAATAGTGAATGGATAATTTATCGTGGGAACTAACGATCTGACAGCCATTGACTACTGTGACAAATGACGACCTAACAGCCATTAGATACATCAAATTATTAATTGGCAAATTTCTTCCCTATTGGGTTTATTTCCCAATATTATCCAAAAACGTTCTTTGAAAATATTCAGTTTTTTTGAAAGTTTATTTGATCGTACAATCATAATTTTTGGAGACACCAGGGCTATGTAAAACTGAATAGCAATTGGAGATCATTTCAGATTATCAAAATAAAAAAAACAACCAGGATCACATTTGAAAGATAATCCGCCCAGACCTTAAATTCATTAATTTTATCATCATTTTTAATTTACCAATTAAAAATAAGTTGAAAAGAAAAATCGAGTCGCATTGCGTTGATAATTTTATCTCTTTCATGGGAAATTTTTTAGAAAATTCGATATCTATAATAGTACGAAAGATAATGAATTTTTAATAATCATGGACGCCGTACTTGAGGGGCCAATATTTCATAAATATATGTGAGTCTAAGAAAAATTATATTAAATTTCTTCAAGTGGAATTGATTAATTTTATTTTGTAAATTTCCTCTTGAATTCACGAATTAATGAATTTGACTCAATGATGATGATTCTTACATCTCTCAAGCGACTTGTGTTCATCCTCATCTGTTCCTGCCTCTTCCTCGTCCTCTTCTTCAACCTCCTCTTCATCAGAATCAGTCATTTGGTGGGTGATATTGAAAATACTCCGGCGAATGGCTTTTTGTATCGATGGAGTCATTCGCCCTTCAGGGACCTCATTGTCACTATCGTCGTTAAGACTGCAAACAAACCATAAAATGAAATTACTAGTGAGCCTTCAATACAAAAGGCTGCCTTGAAGGTCAAAAGACCCAAAACACAACCTCGCGTCAATATTTCTCCTGAAAAAACAAGCTAGAGGAATTTATTGAGTTTTTCCTTTTCTAGAATTTATTCGTTGCATGCTTCGTCAATTATCCTGAAAACCATTGAGTTGAGAGCAAAATATAAAAAAAAAATTATTTATAAAGAATTGAATTCTCTATCAAAAATATTTTTTGACTTTTTCCTCTAAATCCACTAATTTTCGAGATTTTCGGAAAAAAACCATCTGCATGTAAATTTTTTCCTTTCGAATATCAAAATTTCAATTGTTAGAGAGTCCTCATAAGTCTTGATATCACCAAGGAACACCAAAAAGCAATTTTTCCTAAGACTCTCCTCTCCAAGAAGCCCCCAATATGCCCCTCAATCCCTTAAAGCTTCAAATACAAGTAGGAAAAATCTGAGTGGATTGGAAATCCCAATATCTCCGAAACAAACGAGACACAATACATCAAATGCCATATTAAAGCCTGTAAAAACCCCTTGAAAGTGAGAAGAAACCCGTGAAAATCCCCTCAGCCATTTTCGAGATGTTCAAAGAAAACATGCAGAAATAAATGAATATAAATAAAAAAAACTCGCTCACAACTCATCATCAGAGTCTGGAATAATGTGGCTCGCCTTCGTCTCCTGCCAGACCCGCTGGGTGGACAATGTGTCCTCATCATCAGTGTCCTCCACAAAAAACGAATCTTCCATTTCACCAAAGATTTTCACCAACTCCTCAAAAACCACCGCTGAATAATGCCAAAAGCCTCAATCCCCTGCAGCATCCCTCAAAATTCGCAACAGTTCTAATTTTTCCCTGTCCCAAGAAATGTTGTTGCTCTCACTAGTCAGTCCCAACGGTCCCAACTGACCACAACCAACCACAACTGACAACGGAAATTCAAATAGTTTCCGGATCCAGTATCGATACTCACTTATATCGATATTTTTGTTCCGATATTCGATATTTTGTATCGATATTTCCGCGTCGCGATATTGGGTGTATCGATATTTCTGGGTTGGGATCGATATTTTCTCACGGACAAGCAATGAAAAGAAAAAATTAATGTAAAAAATATTCATAACGGATTTAAAAACCACGGAGGTCACAAGAATAAGATGATTCATCGGGGTCAAAATATCAAAAGGGACAAAAGGATCACAAGGGAATGGTCAAATTTCAAGAGGGCCAAACGTCACGAGGGTCACAAGGGGATGATCAAATTTCACGAGTGTCAAAAGTCACAAGGGTCACATTGAGACGATCAAATTGCACAAGGATCAAAAGTCACAAGGGTATGATCAAGTTTCACAAGGGTCAAACGTGACGAGTGAGACAAGGGGACGATCAAATTTCACGGGGGTCAAACAGCACGAGGGTCACAAGGGGATGGTCAAATTTCACGAGGGTCATAAGGGAATGGCTAAATTTCACGAAAGTCAAAGGTCACGGGGGTCACAAGGGGATGATCAAATTTCACAAGTGTCAAAAGTCACAAGGGTCACATAGAGACAAGTTTCACAAAGGTCAAACGTGACGAGTGAGACAAGGGGACGATCAAATTTCACGGGGGTCAAACAGCACGAGGGTCACAAGGGGATGATCAAATTTCACAAGTGTCAAAAGTCACAAGGGTCACATAGAGACAAGTTTCACAAAGGTCAAACGTGACGAGTGAGACAAGGGGACGATCAAATTTCACGGGGGTCAAACAGCACGAGGGTCACAAGGGGATAGTCAAATTTCACGAGATGGTCCAAATTTCACAAGGGTCATAAGGGGATGGTCAAATTCCACGAGGGTCGAATTTTCACGAGGGTCACAACGGGTGGGTCAAATGTCACGGCAGTTAACTAACACAAGGGGACAATTCGACCATCTTCTTGTGACCCTTGTGTCGGGTCACTCGTGGAATTTGATCGTCTCTTTGTGATCCTCGTGCCATTTCCATCCTGTGAAATTTAACCATCCCCGTGAGACCCTCGTGACGTTTGACTCATATGAAGTTTGACCATCCCCTTGTGACTCTTGTGCTATTTGACTCTCGTGAAATTTGACCATCTCCTTTTGACTCGTGACGTTTCACTTTCGTGAAATTTAACCATCCCCTTATGACTGTCGTAAAATTTGACTATCCCCATGTGACCCTCGTGTCGGTTGACTCGTGAAATTTAATTGTCTCCCTATGGCCCTTGTGACGTTTCACTACTGTGAAATTTGACCATCTCCTTTTGACTCGTGACGTTTCACTTTCGTGAAATTTAACCATCCCCTTATGACTGTCGTAAAATTTGACTATCCCCATGTGACCCTCGTGTCGGTTGACTCGTGAAATTTAATTGTCTCCCTATGGCCCTTGTGACGTTTCACTACTGTGAAATTTGACCATCTCCTTTTGACTCGTGACGTTTCACTTTCGTGAAATTTAACCATCCCCTTATGACTGTCGTAAAATTTGACTATCCCCATGTGACCCTCGTGTCGGTTGACTCGTGAAATTTAATTGTCTCCCTATGGCCCTTGTGACGTTTCACTACTGTGAAATTTGACCATGTCCTATTAACCCTCGTGACGCTTCACTTCCGTGAAATTTGATCGTTCCCTTGTGGCTTTCGTAGAGTTTGACCCTCGGGAAATTTGATCATTCCCTAGTGACTCTTGTGACGTTCCACCCTCGAATGAACAAAATAATAATTCTGTGCAAACTGTAATGTGAATGACACTGAATATTCATAACTTATTTCAATTTTTCCTCGCGCAATTTAATTGACAAATTTGATGATTGGAAGTGGCGGAATCTATAGAATGGTCTGTACCAAATTGTAAACAATACTGGGATATCCTCACGTGAATGAATCTGAATGTTTAAGGTCTTTTAACATGACCCTGAAGTTTGCTGAAAATCCTCTTTAACAGCGGATATCTCAGTGAAAAATCGAGGAATTAAAAAATTTCAAATTTTGTTTTTTTTTATGGGAAGAGATTTAGTGGTGATAGATGCCAATTATATAAAAATATAATTTCAAGGGTAAGTTTAATGAAATATTAACTTTTGAAAGCAATTAACAGTGGATATCTAGCTTCGGAATTGATTAAAAAAAAAAAAATGTCACCCTTAGAATTTGCCCCAATCTAATGGTGATATTTTTCCTTTTTTCCCCCCTTCTAAATCCCAAAGTTTAATCCGCTGTCAAAGGATAAATGTTTGTCAAGGTCTAACTTACGTTTGAATAGCTCGATTTGAAAAATAAAAAAAGTCACATTTAGAGATTTTCATAAGCTTTTGGTGACATTTCGGTTTTTTTCTTATAAATGTTTAGTTTGTGAGATGTGCAATGTTTTTTCAGAGGGACATTAACAACCGAGAATTAAATTACAGAAGATGATTAATCATCAATGGAGAATAAATAAAATATGTGATTAGAAGGAAAACATAGTGTGATGATTTTTTTCCACAGTTTCTATATGCGCAACATGAAAATTTGTAGAATAAATCATTTCAATATTGGATTTCTCTCAGCAAAAGCATAATATCTTCTGAGTAAAAAAATCTATTAATAATTCTTACCTTAATTTTCATGTGACTAGGGGCTATGGGAGCCATGAGCCATCATGTAGAAACTTATGCGCTAACCATTATTTATGACTCACTGAGAACCATTTAGCGCAGACAGCACAGGTGAACGTGTATTCATCTCTACTCAAGACCTCTTCTTCTATTCCATAATGATTGAGACAAGAATATTCAGCCCACCTGTTGCATTTGTGGCACTGAACCCAGGTTTCATTTATTGTCATCGTCTCATCTCTTCCACAGTATAAGCACAGTCCACTAACATCTTCAGATTTCAGCAGTATACCCTGTCTTATTGTTGTGCGTTTCGCGTCTGGATCGAGTGGATGCATGTTAGAAAGATGTCCAACGAGAATCTCTTCTATATAATGGATGACAAAAACGCCACAATTATAACTATCTTTCTGCTTTTGATGTGGTGGAACTTTAGTGGACCAATAAATCAACGACGTAGGAAAAACCTTGAAGTACATAATGAATATATAGTAAGTGAATTTTCAAAGATAATTACTGATGGAGGAGAGTAGGGCAAAGTCGAACAGTGTAAAAAACTATTCGAGCGAATTCAAGCAACTTTTTCTCGTTCTTCGTACGTTCATGAAGGACTGTCAGGCAAAATGGAACAGACAAAATGCCTATTCGACATAATTGTGTTAAAGGTGTTTGTGCATTACCTCAAAAAAAAATGAAAAAATCTGCAAAAATTGGATCGAAGACTTTAGTAATAGTTTAGATTGTAATATTAGTTTTCTCGTCGGTTTCATTTCGCCCCACCCTGTTCTATTAAAATATGGAAAACCGGAAAAAAAGTTGCTTGAATTGCGTCGAATAATGATTTTTTACACTGTTGCATTTTTCCTCATCCTTCTCTAACTCAAAGTGTTTTTACCTTCTTATAACTAGCAATAAACGTCTGACATCTCTTTCTGCACCAGTCATTCAGTCTCGTTCTCGCTGGATCAATTAAATAAACAATAGAGTTCTGAATGTCGACATACATCAAAACCCAATGAACGTTTCCAACGTTGTTGGGAAGAAGAAGGCCTGACTTTCCGGTCCATGAATCACGAAAACGAGTGTAAAAATTTGAGGGCAATGGTTCCCCATTTGCTCTTTGCCCTGTGACTAAATATTGACTCAATTCACATGATATGTAGGCTATGCCATTCCTCTCTGAGTCTCTCATCAACACTGCTGCCCAACAATCGATTACAGTGTTCATTATCCACCTCTTATCGAACACGGTAATGTAGTCGTCTGATAATATCTTCATGTTTGGCACAGCATCCTGATCTGATCTTATTGAAGCTACGAAGAAGGTTCGTGGTGGGTTCGGATAATAATAATACTGAGGATTCGTGATCGTATTATTATTGTTATATTCCAAAACCCTTCGGATCTGCTCCTCTGCCACAGTCTTGAATTTCGTACCTTGTTCATAATTGCTTCTTCTTTTATGCTGAGAAGGTCCTCGGATCCAAAATTCCTGCGCATCCTCATTATCGGGCTCATTGACTCTCTTGACAGGACGTTTATACTGGGCTTTCGGGGGTGGGAGGTCCAACTCACGGTAAATAGCTAACACGTGGTCGTGAGATTTCGTGATAAATCTAGAAGCTTTCATGGGTCCATTCTTTTCCAGTTTTGTTATGCGAAAATGATTTTCAGCAGATGCATTTACCACGTGATTTCTTTGTGAAGATGATAGGGTCGACCAGAGTGGGACATATGGGAGAAGTTCTTTCATCAGATACTCGGAGAATTCCAGGGAATATTTATTTTTTAATCCATTTTGTTGATGATTTTCAATTTTCTCCCTGACTCTGCTTCGAACCCTGTCGAAATATTGATAAAATGGACTTTTTCCGTACATCGTACCGTTAGCATTCCGTGAATACTCCTCAGTTTCGCGCTTAACAATATTTAACATCTCCTCAATCTGTGAAGAGAGGGGTCCAGCTGCTTCTGCGAGATCTTCGAAAGCTTTTGTCACACGATCATTTTCGAGAGGGGATTCCAATATAGTGAGAAGAGACTCGACGTGTACGGTCATTGAATTGAAATTATTGCTATGAGCGATCAAGGCTATACCCTCCAAATACAACGGGATGTTTTTCTCATTAATTCTCTTACCATGTAACCATCGCGAAATCATCTTCATCACATGGGCATAGCATAAAAAATGCCGCATGATGTAAGATGATAAAGGGATGTTGTTCTGGATTTCATTGAACACAAGTTCCAAGTATTCCACCACCGTAAGGTCGTTCCAAGCCCCCATCAGTGCATTTATGCTCGCCCAGGACCAGTCCGTGACAAATGAGTCGAAAGGAGGCCATGCTACCTTTTTTTCTTCCCAGTAATTCCTAATGAGTCTGCAAAAATCCCTAATCGAAGGAGTGGTATGGTCGTTTGTAATGTACTCGAGAAGTGGCAAGATCTTTCCACCTACATTGACAACACCTGAATAGTAGTAAACGCGTTTTGACTTAGGAAATGGTTTTCTCACTACTGATCCCGTGGCATCAAAATATAATTTTAAACCCGAGTGGCGTTTCAAAAATGCTACTTGCTCTGCACATCCCAAAGAAATTTTGAATGGTGCGACAAATTCTCGAATATACTGATGATTTCCCGGTGTATCAGATATACTCAGAATAATGTCGAACACATCATTGTGGTGGCGGTCATTCTCAGAAAGTTTTTCGGATTTAGCCTTTTGTAGTACACTGAGGGAATGTACGAATTGATAATTTTTATCTTCACGAGCAAGTGTTCTGTCCATCTCATTGATGAGTTTCTCGTGAATCGTCAGGGGTTGAGCAAATCTCAACTTTTCTTGAATTACTGATCGTT